AACAACCTCTTATCAATGACACAAGGATGTTTTTTGGCATTAAAGTTTTTGGGTAAACTCCATTTTTGGTTTTAAGTATAATTTAAGTTTCAAATTTAATCTCTCGTGTTAAAAAGTTGACACTATCATTTTGTATAATGTAATTTAAATTTCACGTTAATCCTTTAAGTTAATTTCCTTTTTCAATCACTCTAGTCAAATAACAACGATGTTTTGTCAATAAAAATAATATGACAAAACTGCAATTTTACAGTAAATAAAAAAATTACAAGGATTTGAAGGTTGATTATTTTAATTAAGCTAAGCTCAAGTGAATGCAGAGACTAATATGAAGAACATTTAATCTGAGGACTGTACAAGCTGAGACCTTTACCATGCCAGAAATTCCAACTAGATTACGAAGACAAGAGAAAAAAACAGAGGATAAAAAGCCGACAAAACCTTATACACCGAAAAAGACTTTCATCGTCACCTTCCAACCCGAGCCTAGACCAAAGGTAGAAGCAAAACAAGGCTCCAATGCAAGACTCTGGCAAGGGGCAAGCTAGGTGAAAAGCAAAAACTGAAGCCGAATACAAATGCCCCAGCTAGAGACTGAAACAGGGGGGAGTCAACTAACCACTACCTAAGGAATCATAAATAACTGATTCTGGGGCTGAAGAAGCTGAGGGAGAAACCACCCCAAACCTGAAAGGCGAATCCCTAAACTCGCCATACCCACTTAAAACTGAGTCGGAGGCTGAAGGAGTCGAACAAAATCCCGAGTTACCACCCCAAGATTGGCCAAAGGGGCCCGACAGTCTGGGGCCCTCGAAGAAATCCAGGGCTGGGATTATCCCAAATATATACAATATATTTGTATTTATAATAACTTTCTTATGTAATTACAAATTCTCTCAATGGAGTATATCGCGTACTCCTTATTTATCATGTATGATATCTATTATCCTAAATAGGGTGGGATTTTTATAGTAAAATATTCATTTTTAACTTAGAAATTGAAATGTCTTATCCGCTGCATTATGCAATTAATGTACCATATAAATGTGGTTGTTTGTATTCAACTATTTACAACATGTAGCCTCCAATTTTCGAACGGTTTTAGTGATAGACTTGCTCATTAGTAAAGTCAATAATTGACTAGTGCTTTAATCCATGCCTTGCAAAATCAAAAGTTTATAATAACCCCACTACTTACTACTTGAAAATATCCCCCTTTTTTCGATACCTTATCTTGATGATTAATTGGTTACAAAAGTCATACAATATTTCAAAAAATATAAGAAATAAAAGAGACAAAAATGAATGTCATGGTGTCATTCTAGCCCAAAAACCATCACTGAATAGTCAAAAATTCATCATTGACGTCAACCTCTCAGTGCCCAAAAATGGGGACAAATGAAGCACTTGTCAAAAAAAATTCTTATCAACTAGCATCTTGTGGTGGTTTAAAATCAAATGCAAATGTAGGACTATTATATTTCTAATAATTGATGTGTGCAATCAAAATCCAAGAAATCAAGCTCAGAACCAGTTTTAGATGAATGAAGAATGTGGACTAACATCAGTTGAAAAGCACTGGAATCCACCATTGGACACCACAACAGATTGGAGTAGCAATAGATGTGCAATTTAGGTCGGCTGAAGTTTGGCTCTAATGAAACAATTGTTGTCCCCAAAAGGCAACTTAAATGGGAGTAAATTGGGTATTTTTCAAAGAGTTAAGTATGTAAAAATTTAAAGATTGAATTAATACAATTTACCTAAAGTAAATATAAAATTATTTATGTAAAATGAGGAGCGTGAGAGTAAGAAATGCAAATTTTTTTTATAATAATTTGACTTTATATCCAAGTTTATATCCACTCTTTCGAATTTCAATCGATTAGGATTCCATTAAATCTCTTATATTTGATGGAGGCAAAAACTCCCGATTATAAATAAAACTTTTGATTTTGTGAGCTTTAAACACCAATATAAATTATAGTAAAGATAAAGTAAAAATGTAGCAATTCTTCTGAAGTAAGATTAGTTACCACTCACGTACAAAATAATTTCATTTCAAATAAGTACTTTCAAAAATAAAATAATTAACTCTAGGCGCACTTTGTTCAAGTAATAGATAATGTAGTACAAAGAATAATAGAAAAAGATTTAAGAAACTTTGAAAGATTATTGTTGGATGCTACTCCATTCAATCTATATCTCTTTTTATAAGCAAAATCACCAAAAAGATGTTGAGCAACTCTTAGCCTTTTGTGAGATAGAAGAAGACAAATTTTAGTTTTCTATTAACAACAGCAGTTCATAGACTTACTTCAAAAATTCAAATAAGTGACTTATAATGTTCAAAAAGTCCTAAAAAAATTTAAATACTTTATAATGAGTCTACATTTAAATACAAAATGAACTATTGGATAATAACAACCCGTTTAAGAGAAATAGTCTATTATCTAAGGACATGTCGGACTAAAAAAAACTACTTTTATTAGAACTTGTCAGCCAAATTTAAAATAATTTAGAAACTTGAATTCTTAATAAAAAATAATAAATTATATATTTTTGAAAAACTCATAACGTCTATTTTCATTTGAACTTGGATTTGTATAAATTAGATTTTTATATTTTAAGATATGACCAAAAAACTTTAATATATTTATACTATTTGCTGACAATACGACTAAACAGAACGATTTGATTAAAAAAATTTGCATCTATTTAACTAAAAGTGTAAAATGTGCATGTAATATATCTATTTAAACTTATCATGTGTATTTTACAAGTAAAATAAAATTAAAATTTTAGTAGTAGCATAAAATATATTTTACCATTTAAAACTTATATAGTGTAAATTTCAACAATGACTTTTATAGAAAATAATATATAAGAATGAAATAAAAAACTGCTTGAATATAGAATGGTATACGAATCAAATTATATATCAAAATAAAGATATTTGAATATAGTTTCATATAAAATTAATCTTACTATTTTTTGAGATTTATATAATAAAATATGATCAATTTACTGCATGTATGTCCAATTTAATAATTTCACTTTCTAGCATAACATATAATTTATGTATCTCTAAATAATAAATTCAATAATATGAATTATCAATATTGTCAATTATAAATTTATATATATAATAATTTTAATTTGTTTTATCATTCTCAAAATAAATATGAAATTTAGAGAATAACAACAATTAAATAAAATTGGGGACTAGGGATTTCTAAAATTATAGTTGAGCGATAAAAGTGATTTTGAAGGAAAGTTGCAAATGAAGAAAATTCAAGACTAAGACAAAGAAAGAGATGAGAGAGAGAGAGAGAGAGAGATTTCAATGGCTGATAGTCAAAGAACGAAGAGTGGAAGGTCATAATGTCTTTAGAGCTTATGCATTCTCTTTAATGTGCTGTGAAATTGCCGTCTTGTCTATTTTTTTTATATAAAAATACCCATATATTTTTGTTAGAAGTGGTCGAAATGTAACTTAAGAAATTAACACACAATTAGATTAAAGATGAGGAATGATAATGTTAGTTTTTAAACACTAGAGACTAAAATACAAGTTAAAATAAACTTAATATGCTATGAAATTGCAGTCTTGCCTTTTTTTTTTTTTTGATAAAAATACCCTTATATTCCTATTAAAAGTGGTCAAAATGTAACTTAAGAAACTAACACAGAATTAGATTAAAGATGAGAAATGATAATATTAGTTTTTCAACATTAGGGACAAAGATACGATTTAAAATAAAAAAGGAAATAACAATGTGGTTTACCCAAAATTTTTTTATAAAATCTTATTTGTAGAAGAAAAATTAATTGTTTTAAAGCTGTTTTAGAATTATTTTTTTTTATAAAACCAACTTCCCACAATAAGAAATCAATGTTTAATTCAAAAATAAATTTCAACTTTTTAGTAAAAAATCAGTTTTTCTTTTCCCACCTTGTCAGTCTACTAGTGTGGTCTTTGCACAGTGACCTTGGCCAACGCAAGTTTCCACCACTATATATGAGTATTAATTACGAGGGACGACATACCAAGAGAGAAGCTCAACTCTTAGTCTCCGTTGTATGTAGTGGAAGACAACGTCAGAAGCCACTAATTTTTCACATCCCTGATAGTTTATTTATTTATTTTGCAACAGAAGAAAGTCGAAATTATTTGTGAGGAAAGAAGACGAAGACTACTTCTTCATCTCGAGCTAGCTCTTCCACACAAATAAAATATATTTCCTTTCCAATCACAACCACCCTCGTGCCCTTTAGATAGTTGCCCCTACAAGGCACGAAGCATCAAGGTCATTTAAATGGCTGACAGCGTAAGCTTTGAATCAACCACCAAGCAATCTTGGACTAATGACCAAGTTTCTGTGAGCCCGTGACGAATTTAGATAAGAAAGGATTGTTTCCAAATTTTGTCTGTATGCAGATATTTAGTGTCTAACATTCGTTTATATTTTTTTGTCAATTTAAAAAAAAATCAATATAAAAAATTTCATAAAATTTTGCCACGTCTAGATAGGATGTTTGGAGGTAGAGAAGGGAGCAGTCCAAATTCATTTAAACATGATCCCACTTCAATTATTTTAGTGTTAGGCACGTTAATCTTCCACTATTAAGTGATGGGTAATGATAATATATAGTCAGGAATGTCACACACCCATGGATGTCCAAGGTAAAGCTTTGTTTCTGAAAGAATCAATGGCTCCTCTTAGGGAGCTTCCTCTTCCTTTTTGGCTTTTAACCTCCTTCGCATGCTTGCTGCTGGTTTGTCAATGCCGGGTTGGGTCGCTGTCGGTAGAGAGATCCACGTACATAGTCCACATGGACAAGTCTGTCATGCCCAAGCCCTTCACCAGCCACCACCACTGGTACTCCTCCACCGTCAATTCCCTGAGGTCCGTGGGACAGGCAGCGTTAGATGGCTCTCGTTTAAACCCGAGGCTCCTATACTCTTACGACAACACCCTTCACGGTTTCAGTGCAGTCCTCTCCGTCGACGAACTAGAGGCTCTAAAGAAGTCCCGTGGCTTCGTCTCCGCTTACAGTGATAAGGTTGTCACTCTTCACACCACACACACCACCGACTTCCTCTCCCTCAACCCCACTTCCGGACTCTGGCCTGTTTCTGGCTATGGTGAGGACGCGATCGTCGGAGTTGTTGACACCGGCGTTTGGCCGGAGAGCAAGAGCTTCGCGACGAGGGCATGGGTAAAGTTCCATCAAGGTGGAAAGGCGTGTGTGAGGTGGGAGAACAGTTCAATTCCTCCTTGTGTAACTCGAAGTTAATTGGAGTTAGATACTTTAACAAGGGTGTGATTGCGAATAACCCAGGAATTAAAATCAGCATGAACTCGGCCAGGGACACCGACGGCCATGGCTCGCACACAGCCTCAACGGTGGCTGGAAATTACGTTGACGGCGTATCGTTCTTTGGGTATGGGAAGGGAACGGCAAGAGGGGTTGCTCCGAAAGCGAGATTGGCGGTATACAAGGTTGTTTGGGACGAAGGTTGTTATACTTCTGACGTCATTGCCGGAATAGACCACGCCGTCGGGGACGGCGTCGACGTGATTTCAATTTCTCTGGGCTTCAGCACCTCTGCTTTTTACGAGAACCCCATTGCAATAGCTTCGTTTGGAGCCATGAAGAAGGGCGTTCTGGTATGCTCGTCCGCCGGAAACAACGGCCCGTTTCTTGGCAGCTTGGACGACGGAGTCCCGTGGTCTTTGACAGTCGCCGCTGGGACAGTTGATCGGTCTTTCGCTGGAACGGTGACGCTCGGCAATGGGATCACCATAACAGGATGGACCATGTTTCCGGCGAATGGTTTGGTGTATAACATGCCTCTGTACTACAATAAAACTCTGGCGTTGTGTGACGATCCGAATCAGTTAGCTTTGTCGCCGTACGCCGTCATAATATGCGAGAACAGAGGCCGAGCCTCCGTTTTGAAGCAGTTACGGCGCGTGGCGAGGTCTAACTCTGCGGGGGCAATCATGGTCTCCGACGATCCCTTTTTATTTGAGCTTGGAAAGGTTCCGTGGCCAGCTGTTGTAATAAGCCCGAAGGAAGCGCCGGCGTTGATTAAATACGCGAAAACTGCTGAAAGCGCTACCGCCACACTGAAGTTCCAGCAGACCATTCTGGGGAAAAAGCCGTCCCCGGCGGTGGCTGTGTACTCCTCGAGGGGCCCGTCGGCGAGTTCTCCGGGCATTCTTAAGCCGGACCTTATGGCTCCTGGTTCGCTGGTCTTGGCAGCTTACATCCCCAACGGCTTCGCCGCCAAAATTGGGGGAAACATAGACTTGGCCAGTGAATGCACCATGATGTCTGGCACCTCCATGGCGTGCCCTCACGCCGCTGGCGTGGCGGCGCTGCTGAAAGTGTCGCACCCAGAATGGTCTCCGGCCGCCATCAAGTCGGCGATGATGACGACAGCAAACCCATTTGATAATACCCGTAACCCGATCCGGGACAACGGGCGGAGCCACAGTTTTGCTTCACCACTAGCCATGGGTTCGGGCCATATTGATCCGAATCGAGCTCTTAATCCTGGCTTGGTATACGATACAGACCCACAAGATTACGTCAATTTGCTCTGCACCATGAATTATACTCACAAGCAACTTTTGACTGTCACTAGATCGAAGCGGTACAATTGCACCAACCCATCGCCCGACGTGAACTATCCTTCGTTCATTGTTTTGTACACTAGCGAGTCCTTAGGAAAGACAGTCATCAGAAGGTTTGAAAGGATTGTCACCAACGTCGGTGACCATCCGAGAAGCTATAGAGCTGAAGTGACCACACCGAAGGGTTCAAGAGTCACGATTCGCCGGAGATATTGAGGTTTAGAAAGAAGTACGAGAAGCAGAGATACACCTTGACCATCTCGTACAAAGGTGACCGAAGTGCGAAGGTCACTTTTGGCTCAATCGTTTGGGTTGAAATAAACGGGACCCTCGAAGTGAGGAGCCCAATTGTTGTATCTCCTTTCCCAATAGAGGATTGACCATATCGACTTAATGAAAAATAATTTCAAGAGTTAATTGTTTATTCAAAAATAAAAATATATAAAAGAAAATGTAAAAAGTTCAATAGTATTTAGTGATATATTACCATAATTGTTTATTCCTATCTCTTTGCACTACAAGTCTCTGCATATTCCAAGTATTTGACAAATTGCAAGTAAATAACACATGTTAGAAAATTGTAAATTGTTGTATCTCCTTTCCCAATAGAGGATTGACCATATCGACTTAATGAAAAATAATTTTCAAGAGTTAATTGTTTATTCAAAAATAAAAATATATAAAAGAAAATGTAAAAAGTTCAATAGTATTTAGTGATATATTACCATAATTGTTTATTCCTATCTCTTTGCACTACAAGTCTCTGCATATTCCAAGTATTTGACAAATTGCAAGTAAATAACACATGTTAGAAAATTGTAAATATTTTAGATATTGTTCTTATATTTTAATGGAAATTTTCTTTTTGGAAAAATAAAGTTTCTTGATGCATTAGTCTGGCCTAATTTTGGCTTGATTTACAGATAGCTCAGAAAGGTATTGACAGTAATTGCAGATTTAGTTCTGCTATTGACCATGTGCATGTTTTAACTAAATTCTAAGTTTAGTAATTTTAATTTTTAAAACATTTTACTTTGAAAGAATTTTGTGCATTAATTTAGAAGTTCTGATAACTTCAAATTGTATTGGTCGAATAAAGTGGTGGTGACATAATATAAGCATTAATTTACATTTTGGTTTCGTAGAGAATTAGAAAAATAAGTTATTTTTCATTTACCAAAATATGTTCTCAACCTAAACATCCAAATAATTGTGCTAAAAGATATACCTACTTTTATTTATATGGGAGTTATAAGTTTAAGTTAAGGAAGAGAGGAAGGTCAATAGTCAAATTTATGATCTTTAAATGAATTTAAGAAAAGTTCTATCACTTGAACTAAGTCTATTTTTTTTTTTTTAAATCTTAGAAACATAATTTTTTTATAGCAATGGAGGCCAAGGTTCAAGAAAAGAAAAATTAAGTTATAAATGTTTGAACAGTACAAATTCACATATTCCGAAGGTGCGAAGTTATCCTAATATGACTGGGGCAAAATCCAATCTTTCAAACCATGCTCCTCGGATGGGCTCAACTTAGTCCTATAATTAACGTACCTTTAGCCTCTCTAAAGATGTACTTGATCTTAAACTTGCCAATCTTATCGAATAAGAAATCTAATTCTAGTTACAACGAGAGCATAAAGTGATCAATAATTTCTGAAATGCCAACAATGATCAAAACGAATGACAAGACAATAATCAAATGATTAAAATTGAATTAAATTAATTAATAAAAGCAGGATGTGTTTTATAATTAGTCTCAAAAAAAGACTCAATCTAAACCTAACAAAATTTCAAGAACAAACTTAATTCTTTTTATGCCAACTAATTTCAGACTACAGAAATCTCCAACCCTTCACACTATGATGGTTGGAAACAAATTAAGCAATATTTAATTGTTATCGGAAGTGAAACCTCCAAGCGGGGATGATTGCTAAGTACTTTTTAGAAGTCTTTTGCTTAATTATTGAATGAGTCTTTAATAAGATTTTAATAAATTTGGATAATTTGGAAGGGATCCCAACTCTCATTTTTTATAATCCAAAATATCTTAAGAGGTGTAAGAATTTTTAGAGAACTTGAAAATCTTAAATATCACGAATAAACTTGCCGCAGCATGTTATAGCATGCTACGGTGTGCTATAACATGCTAGTTCTAATATTTAGGACGCTATAGCACTCCTAGTGTCCTATAGCATGCTTGGATAGCATTTAAGGCGATAAAACACTATGTTAAAATAACACTATAGTAACAATTTTCTTTTTCTTTTTTTACAAAATCTATTCATACTTAAACTCACAAATGGATATTCACCAAACTCAAATCTCTTAAAAATGCTCTTAAATCACAAAAAATATTACCTAACCATCTTCTCTTTATTATCTTAATAAACATCTTGGAGTCCACCTTCATGAGAATTTTCTTAAAGCTCAAGTTCCAAGATATCCTTAGGCGCTCCCAAGCTCCCTGGGCTTTTGACTGAAATCTTGTTCAAAATGCTAATGAATTTAGAAAAATATATAATCCAGTTCTCGTCATCATCTCTTAAAAGGCTTGCACAACTAGTTTGATGATTCCAAGTAGGTATGTAATCGGATTCAGATCAAATCAGGCTGATTCAAATCCAAATCCGATTATCAATGTATATTTTTGAATCCGACCTGAAATCTTATAGGATTTCTACTTGTTATTACCAAATCCAAATCTAATAAAAATCCGAAATTCGAATAACTATTAATAATAATTAAAATCAAATAACTAATAAATAAAAGATATATAAAATTAAATAAATTATTATTTATAAATGATAAAAATTCATGTAAGATTTATATTTAATTAGTTTTCTTTTATTAAAATATAAATAAAATTTAAAAATAAATTGTTATTTATAAATGATTAAGAAAAACTTTTGTTATATAATATATTACAAAAGTAATGATAGGATTTTAATACTTTATAAAATTATCAAGTTTATTATATTATAGTTAGAACTTAAAAAATTTTATAATCAATTTATTCAAGTGTTTCATGAAATTTCAAAAGTAATTAATTATTAAATATAATGCCTCATAGAAAAATTAAAATTAGGGAAAGTAAAAGAATATTATAAAATAGTTTAGAAAAAATATATATTATTCTATTAAATAAAATGTTTCACAAATACAACTTAATGTATTATTAATTATAATATCATATATATTACATTATATATAAAAGTATTTATTAAAAAATATATATAATTATTAATAAATAAAAATTATTATTAAAATATTTAGATTCAGATTTTTAACGAATCTGATTACTTAATTCCATATCCGATCCACTTATTTCGGATTACGGATATTTATAATCGAATTTAATCCATTTAACATTTTAATCGATTAAACGACCTAAAATTCGGATCGAATTCGAATTAAAATCTAATTTATTGACAGGCCTAATTCCAAAAGTTGACTCTATCATGTATATTAAACATGACCAACCTTGATCTGGGGGGTCCAAAAAGCCCAAGTTCTATTGTTGGTCTTCATGATCTCGAACCTCTTACAAGCTAAAATTCACAGATCGATAACCTTCCGGAGGTTCAATGGCCTCTGAAAATCTGCTCAAAGATACTCTTATTGGGAATATACGCATTACCCAACGCTAGCGGTAGCTTCAGCCCAAACGGGATTGGGCCCAACTTGACTGCACAACCTTTCGTCCCTTTCTGTAGTCCATTTACGGTGAACTGGGTTATTTTTACTGTTGGGCAGTCAGCTCTAAGGTTAGGGTCACTTCTAGCCTTTCACAAAAGACGAGGAAAAAGAAAAATGTAGCCAAATAAGAAAAATAGAAGAAGAAAAAAAGGCTTAAGTTTTACCGGTTGGATCAACCCATTCATGATATGGATTTGTCAAATTAATTCTATGATATGAGAGGGATTTGGAAATATTGACATTAATATTGTAGGATTTGAAGTAATGAGATTACGTAATGAAATTTATGGGGTAAAATAATAAGAAGGAATTAAATATGTTGAATTATTTATGAATATAATTACATTTAAATTAGAGAAAATATAAGGCAAAATAACATAAAATTTATATATTTAAATTTTTTAAATTACAATCAATTACCAAACACCACGCATTAATAATATAGTAATAAAGTAATATCTCATATAAGGTATAATTTTTTTTTATTGAAGTCTCATATTTTCTGTAAATTTACTTAAATAACACTTAATCATATTCTTATCCTAAAAATATATTTATCCGTTGCACTGATAATTGAGTATAAATTATCTAACAATCCTATTAAAGAAGATATGAGAGTAACAGAAGTTCATATATATGAATTATCCATGTGATTAAAAATAAAGTATTATTTGATTTACTTAAAAAATTAATTTTTAAAAATTTTTTATTTTTAGTTTTAAATTAAAAATATAAAAAAATAAAAAATCTACCTTTCAAAATTTAATTTTAAACTATTTATAATTTTTTATTTTATATTTTTAGTTTTATTTCAAAATTTAAAATAAGTGTATTATTCATTTAATTTTTAAAATTATTAATATTGACAGGTTGTTTTATTCATTAAAAATGTAATTTTTTAAATTTTTAGATTTTTGTTCATTATAGATAAAAAATTTTAGTAAGTTCATTGATTAAAAAAGTTAATTTTTTGAAAAGTTGATTTTTATATTTTAACATTACTTGATTTAATATGAAGAATTAAAAAATTTAAAAGATTTGAGAAATTTAACTTATTGAAAACCTGATTTTACTATTTTTTTTGAAGAAGTTATATTTTTTTTTGGTATCCCTAAAAAAATTCATTCGTATATATAAGAAGATAAAAAGATATTTTAGCAATTTTTTCACTAATACGGTCATTTTAAATATTGAAATAAAACTAAAACTTATAAAATTAATTTTTTAGAAAAATTAAAAATAAGAAAAATTATCAAAAGTTGGATTTTCTTAAGTTGTTTCTTATATTTTTAATTTAAAACTAAAAAATTACAAATTTTAAAAAATTAATTTTATAAGTAAATTAAATAATATTTTAATTTTTAATTAAATAAGTAACTCAAGCCAGTAAAGTTGAGTTATACTCACATCTTCTTTAATAAAACCATTATACAACTATTAATTAACTGTTAGTAAAATAGTAAGTGTTTTCTCAAAATAAAAACTAGATAGGAAGTCTTTGTTACCCTTTATTTAATGATTTATTATAACAAATAATTAGCATAGTTCATGAAAACATGTATCACAATGAATAATCTTTCGCTATATATAAGTTTTTTTTAAAAAAAATTGTCTATTCCCATCTTTTTATAAAAGATCCGATAAAAAATACGTATTTTATAATACAGATATATGTATATGAATTATATTCAAATAATATTTTTCGTACATAATTATATTTTATTTTGTTAGGAGTTTGACAAAACTATTATGTAGATCCTCTATCAATACTAAAACAAAATATGCATTCTGAATTTTATCAATCGTGTAACTTTATACTATGTGAAAAAAATTGAATATTTTTGAAGTTATACAAATAAAAAAATAAATTATCACAAAAAAGTTGACAATTTTGTGTTTACGTGAATAAATACTAAAGTAATGGAGAAATCTTCTAATTTAGATGAATAAAATATAAAATTCATTGACTTAAACAATTTTAATGAATTTCTAAATTATGTTACTTGTGAATTTTATAAAAATATTTATCTACAAGATTTGATATTTGAATATTAGAAAATTACTAGTAATATTATTGGTAGAAACAATCTAAATTGACTAAACATTTCATTTTGAAAGTATTTGATATGTTAATTATACTAAATTATTAGAATTTTTAGTATTTTTGAATTATTATTGTTCATAATTGATGTTTTTTAATCAAAATTTGATATTTAAATTTTGATATATTTGCTTACTTTTAAGTTAACTTGGTATATCAATCGTACATAACTTGATCTTTTTTTTAGTTATTAATGATTTATAATGTACTATAATACAAAAATATATATTTATATTAATGTGTTTTATTTATAAATCATTATATGTTTTGAAAGAAAATATGATTATATATGAAAAATATATTTATATAAGACTAATAAATTAATGAAATAATGTATTTTTTATTCCATATTTTTTAAATTATCTATAATATAATTATATTTTTTATTTAACCTAAATTTAACAAATTTATAATTTTTGCTAAATAATTAAATATAATTTTTATTAATATATATATATTATTCTCATACATAATAAATATCATAATCTTATCATACTGATTTTACTAATCATGGTAATAAAAGCATTAGTACTTGGCTCACAAAACTAACAATTCTTTATTACATTTCACCAATCAAGAGATTATTGGTGGAAGTAATTAATTCTTCAGTCTTCACCCCATACCCACCCCCCCCCCCCCAAAAAAAAAAAAAAAAATCCAATAAACCTGGTGCTTTACAGCTGCGTGCTCATTGTTCAAGTAAATTGAAAAGGGAAGTAGAAGAAAGAAAAAGAGAAACAGGACAAAAGAAAATGATAAAACTAAATCCCTAACAACATAACTCTCTAAAGTATATTGCATATCTTCATTCTGGTTTGGCGATTATGAACTGAGAATTTTTTCAAAGCTACGTTTTCCTTCTTTTGTTTTCACTTTTTACTTCTCAATTTTTTTATTTACAAGTCAAGAAAGCTAATTATTTTTTAGTATGTGATAAAAAAAAAAAAAGTTGTATAGGCGAAACCTTTGTAATAATATATACGAAAAAGTCCTATATTTACAAAAAGTAGCTTGCCTTTTCATGAATTCTTACTTGAATCGTGGTTTACCACCAACTGGCTCAAGGAAAATGGAGCGAACGAGGTGACCCATGACCAAACAATACTATCAATTGATGCTGCAAAGCCTCTCATGCCTGATTAAGCTAGAAGCCACCTGAACAATGCGATCCTAATCACATTTCATACTTTCTTTGCCAACAAGGTTACCTCTTTCTTTAATCAAAAGTAAGTCTTCCAGCGTCTTTCCACTTGCTTATAAGCAATGCCCAAAGCTCACAATTACTCTAATTCCCATATTATCATTCCTGTTAATCTGTCAACTAGATATTCGATTCAATCCTTGACAACAGTACGTATCAAATTTCATTGCATGGTCGGTTCCTCCTTGATCTAACTCAAGCAACACTCAGAGTTTGTTGCAAAAAATAAAGCAAAATTAGGACAGTGCTCCCAATTTTTACTTAGGTATTGGTTTTAGAAGTTTGGTTTAAGCTAGAGAAGCCGGCTAAAAACTTTTGATGAGGGAAAGTCGCACTAGAAAAGCCAATAACAAACACTTTGCCAAACAGACTGTGGGCTTTGCTTCTGTTTTTCAAAATAGAAAACTAGGTCTCGGAAAATGTTTTTGGGAGCTTAGAATTTTGATAGAACATGGCCTTTTGGAGAAAAAACAGTTGTTTTGGAATTCTCGGAAATTATTTTCGCAAGACAATGAAAAACGATACGAAAAAATATAGTTTTTCAGCATTTTTATCATTTTTTCTTTCAGAAACACAGAAAAGTAAAACTTAAAACAGAAAACAAATCCAGACATGTTGTTTAGCAATTGGACGTTTCAGAGGGCATGTCAAATCCAGAGTCGAATGCATCTTGATACTCTCTGGCAAAAGATGTAATTTGATGGGCATTGCCGTTTTGCCGTCATTCACTACTTGCAGGGGACAAGCTGAGAAGGAATTTAAAGTCGAGATTGAAGCAATTGGACGAGTTAGACATAAAATTTTGGTGAGGCTGCTGGGTTATTGTGCCGAAGGTGCTCAGAGGTATTTTGTCGGATAGCACTGGGGCTTCATTTTATCTCAGTTGTAGAATCATGACTGCGTTGCCTGCAATTTTGTCTGATTAGACAATTGGGATATTTCATTTAGAAAACTTTATTTAAGATGGAATCTTTTACAGATATGAATTTAAAATAGTTGTTTGGGTTGGTCAGGATGCTTGTGTATGAGTATGTAGACAATGGCAACTTAGAACAGTGGCTTCATGGAGATGTAAGGCCATGCAGTCCTCTTACATGGGATATCGGTATGAACATTGTTCTTGGAACAGCGAAAGGGTATATTATCATTTTCAAACTTATAATCAAGTTAATTTTGTTATGAGAGCTCTGCTCTTTTATTCCAGCCCATCATACACAACTCATACAATCACAGGTTGACTTATCTTCACGAGGGGCTTGAACCCAAGGTGTGATATCAAGTCAAGCAACATTTTACTTGATAAGCAGTGCAATCCTAAACTATCTGACTTTGGTTTAGCCAAGCTCTTGGGTTCTGAGAGAAATTATGCGACAACTCGAGTGATGGGTACATTTGGGTCTGTTAATCACTTCATTTCACTGTTCAAGCTCGTTGCCATATATAAACTCATTGGTGCAGTGTGGCAACTTTCTCTGTTCGGGTAGTTATATTGCTCCAGAATATGCTAGTACAGGGATGTTGAACGAGAGAAGTGATGTGTACAGTTTTGGGATTCTTCTTATGGAGATAATATCTGGGAGGAGCCCTGTGGATTATAGCCGTCCTCCCGGAGAGGTCTGTATTTGATTGTGAAGATCGGCTTTTGACATTATAGATCCATTCTGGTTCCTTTTTCGTTTCCTTTCCTTTGTTAATTATAATTTGGTTGTTGCTTTCAGGTGAACCTGGTTGAATGGATTAAAGCAATGGTTACCAATAGGAGTGCAGAGGGAATTTTTGATCCTAAATTAACTTAAAAGCCTTCCTCAAGGACGTTGAAGGGTGCTCTTTTAGTTGGTTTACGTTGTACGGACCCTAATGCACCGAAGAGGCCAAAGATGGGTCATGTGATACACATGCTTGAAGCCAATGATTTTCCATTCAGAGATGTGAGTTCCACACTAGCCCTGTCCCCCCATTCTCTCAAAAATATAATTAGATAAATATCTCTAGCAAATCTGTTAAAAGTTTTTAATGTCACTTCTATTTCCATGGAGAATGCACTGTAGGTTTCGGGTAGAAGATGTTTTCTTCTAGTATGATATGACAAGATATGATCTCTATTCTATATAGGTTTGCCTCAGTTCTTTCAACAACCTCACACTGGAATATGATCGCAATCCACAACTCTCTGAAAGTTTTAGGAGTTTAGTTTTTTTTTTTAAAACCTTGTACTCATGTGACATCCACTTGGAACTAATAGTCCTTCATTCCATTGTGTCAGTTCCTTAATTTTTGGATTTGTTTTTGACAATAGAATTCTGGTTTTAAAACCAAAAAAGAACCGTTTGGCAGGTTTTCAGAATCTGTTCTCATGCACATTTTCAGAAAACAAGAAAATTTTGTTTTTATAATTCACATAGACTATTTTCAGTCAACAATGTTTTGTGTGGCTTTTACCTATCCTTACTGTTATCCTCGGGAAAAAAACACTTCTAGGAACGTAGAGTGGGACGAGAACACGGGAGACCAAATCGTGATGGTATAAAGGAGCGGTTGGAGAAGTGTGTGATCGAATTAGGTGACAGTAGCGGGTACGAGAGTGCTGTCCTAGCCAGATTGTAGCGGAGGAGAAAGCAGGAAAACGAAGAAGAAGAGTGATTGAACTCAGAGAAGTCCTTGATGACGTCGAATCCACTCGCTTGTAACTCACTAGTGTTGGAAAAATAACTGTTATATTATTCAAACTAATCAAAACAAAATGTTTAAATTACAAGCCACTTACTTGTTAGAACACAAAAGCAAAGTAATATAATAAATTATTTTCAAGGATTCAACCTTTGTCTTTAAGGTGAAATTGCCTTGTCACTTGATATAAGAAGGTTGCAATGTAATTGGCTTTTCAGGATTTTAACAACTCCACGAAAAACTACACTTTTTCTTGGTTTACGAACGTAAGGACTATAACTCAAATTCCCTTTATAAGAATACTTTTTAAAGTTGTAGAAAATAAAGAAAAATGGAGAGAATTTCTTCCTACAAGAGAGATAGATTTTTTCTTAAGATTGTATGTTGAAGGATGGGAATGACTTCCTTCGTATAGGCCAACAAAAAAAATAGAAGAGATGAAACTGATTAATGGGGAATCAAATCCATAATGTACATTCATCCAAAATATACATTCATCAATTAATTGGGTGATGAATCCTCAGATTAATTAATCCAAGTTAATTCTCCTTGTACAAAGTACATATTGTATATACATTGATTTATGAATACATGTACATAGATACATAATGTATATACATTGATCCATGCATATATGTGCATAAATACATATGCTAGCATTGATTATTTCAATAAACATTCATACTTTATCAATTCATATTCACAGATAATTGGTTTTAATTTCTTGGATTAATGTATCCATGCTGTATACAAAACCCAGCAATGTATTAACATTTAACTTGGTCTCAAAAAATATCCTATTAATTAAAACCAATTCCAACAATTTCCCTCGTGAATGGAAATTGGACGAGGACCTAGAAAATTTGTAGATAAAAAATTGAACTAGAATATAACTACATCAAGAAATGTAGCTTTTTAGCTTTGAACCTTCGTTAGTGAAATACCATCAGATTTACTTAGCTAATTAGTGAACATGATATCTTGAACTAGTCAGTCTTTTGTGTAAACCAAGACAATAGTATTCACATAGTTCTCTTCTTAGAAATTCCTTTCGTTCTCAAGATTGTGTTCATTTTGGTCCTGGACAAGTCCTAAATTCATGAGTGCTTTAGAGAATGCCACCTTTCAAAATTCTAAAAAAAAACGACCCTATTTCTCACTCATATAGGTGATTTCTCATTAAGAATATGTTGTTAATACTCCACTTGGAAACTAAGATATGAGAATCATTAAGAGCTAACCTCACCCTAGTCTCGTTGCAGCTAGCACTTCTTCATCGTAGGAATGGCCGTGAAATAAATATTTTCAAGTGCTACTTAAAGTGCAACATGATTAATTTTCTCTTTAAACCTAGATATTGAGATCTCCAATTAACTAGGTAGGGTTACCATCATAACACTTTTTCATCTTTTAAAGGCTTTAAACCCATTTTCCTTGATGATTTATACACAAGCTCTCTATTTAAGCCTTTTGTTAACAGATCGACAATATTGTCCTTTGACCTTACGTAGTCAATTGAAATAACTCCATTTGAGAGCAAGTGTTTAATTGTATTGTGTCTACGATGTATATGTCTAGACTTGCCATTATAGATGTGAATTTGTACTCTCCCAATTGTTGATTGACTATCACAACGAATACAAATAGCTAACATTAGTTTTGGCCAGCATGGAATATCTTTTAAAAAATTTCGAAGCCATTCTGCTTCTTCTCCTGCTTTGTCAAGAGCAATAAACTCTGACTTCATAGTAGATCTTGCGATACACGTTTGTTTAGAAGATTTCCATGACACTACTACTCCTCTGAGCGTAAAACATATCCACTAGTGGAATTTGATTTCTTAGTATTGGATATCCAATTTGCATCACTATATCCTTCTAGAACTACTGGCTAACTAGTATAATAAAGCCCATGATCTAAGGTGTATCTCAAATATTTGAGTACCCTTATAATTACTTTCCAATGGTCCTTCCCAAGGTTATTGGTAAACCTACTGAGCTTGCTTACTAAGTAAGCAATATACAACCTTGTGCAATTCATAACATACATCAAGCTCCCTATTATTCGAGAATATTCTAATCGATGTATTGCCTCACCTTTATTTTGGGACAAATGCACACCCAAATCTATTGCAGTTTTGACTATGCTATTATCACTTTTGGAAAATTTGTGAAAAATTTTCTCAACATAATGAGATTGGGATAATGCAAGTATTAGATGTCTTGAAAACTTTTATTCCTAAAATAACATCTGCAACACCCATGTAACATGCCCACCCAAAACTCTCATCATGTAGTATGTTTTTATTTTATATAAGCATGATTAGTGGAGTAATTAGTAGCACAAGCTTAGTTTTAAAATATATAATAATAATATTATTATTAGAATAAATAAATAAATAATAAAATAACAAGACAATAATAAAATAATAAAATATATATTTTCTTCCACCACCTAAATGGATCACCTTAGAGGGGTTATACGAGTTCTCGAGCTGCTTGCTTGGGACGTGCGAAGGAAGCACAAACAAGGAGTAAAAGAGCAAAGAAGGAGAAGATTTGAAGGAATTACATAAGAAAGTGATCATATGATTTGCAATTGGTAAGTCTCTCTCTCTAGATTCCCTCCTAATTCTAATTCCACTATGTTTTTATTCCTTCCTTCATTGAGCTACCTTTTTGAATTAAAAATGAATTCCACGTAGAAAACTAGGAGAAGTGGAAAAAGAGAAAACCAGAACACCATTTGATCAAATAAAGACTTATTTAAAGGAGGTGTTTCGTGATTGCTCTAGCTTAACTTAGATTTAACTTTTATCCTCACTATTCTGGCAAACTTGGCATTAGGAGTAGAAGTTTTGGATTGCTGTTTTGAAAGGAATGGAAAGGAGAAATGGGAGCTAGATTAATTATGGTAATTAGAAAGTGATGTTGGTTGAGACACTACAAGAAATATTCAAATTACCGATACAAAAAAAGGGTCGATAAGACAGAAATTTGCGTCGGTAATAGCGTTACCGACGCAAAAGCATTCGTCAGAAAAATGCCCATCGGAAAAAATTTACTGACGCAAATTTTTTTGCATCGAAAATTTCTAACAAATATTGGGTTGTAAATTGCGTCGAAAATTTCCGAGGTGGGGGACGACGCAAATTTCCGACGCAAAAATTGCGTCAGAATATTACCGACGCAATTTTTGTGTCGGTAATTAAATTCGAAAAAATTATATTTTATTATTTTTAATTATTAAATATTAAATTGTTTTTATTAGTAATTATTAAATTATTATTTAATTATTATTATTAATTTTAAATGATAATTTATTTAAGACATTTACATAAAACTGAAATAACATGTGCATAAATAATATTTAAATATTTTATTACAAACATAAAATAGTGTCACTAAACATATACATGAAACAAAATTTCAAAAAAAGAAAAATCACCTCCAACAGCCAATATCGCCCGACTGAGATACAGAAGAGTCAGAATCGTGAGCGGGTACTGAAGGGCATGGCTGATCAGGTGGAGTGCTCCTCATCCCTTCAACCACCTTAATCAAGTGATGAAGGGTAAGCTCCATACTCCCCACCTTCTCCTGAAGCTCTTGATTCTCCTGACGGAGAGTCTGCACCTCTGATCTCACAGACTGATCCGCACTGTCGGATGAAGAATAGTGGACTGACTGAGAAGAACTCTGCCATCCAAGACCGTATACACGGCCAAAGGCTCTCCCCCCAGTGCACCTCTCCCACAGTTGAGTGTCTGCTATCTACTGAGACTCTAGAGTAGACGTCTCCTCAAGTGTCGACTGGGAGGATCAGGTAGCGTGGAAGTCAGCCTACATACACAAAGTATATCATAAAATAAGTTTAATAATTAAAAATGTTAATTATAAACGGTTAATAAATAATATAAGCATGCTTACATAAAATTTAATAAAGATGTTAAATAAAATTTACTTACATAAGTCTTCTTCGATCGCTGGTCCACCCACACCTCCTCACCATCTTTCTTTCTAACATGTGTATGTTTAAAAATCTCAAAAAAACTGGAAAGTCCTCAAGGTCTCTTTTTCCTGCAATACATAATAAAAATTTTGTGATTATTTATAACTATCAGATAATAATAAAATTTGTGTACAGGAATAAAACTTACCATACTCATAGCATGCTCGTGTGGCGGAATAGAGCCTCCTGTGTGGAGAGAACTGCTTTTTTCTAAATGGCAATTCCCTTTATTTTGGGAGCTTACCTT